AGCAACCGCGCTCGATGGACGATCGCGCGCTAATATTGGCGGTGGGCCGGACTCGCCGAACGGATACTCGCTCATTCGGCGATATTCAAAAATTAATATCTCGTTAAATATTGCGAATTTTGCAAAATGGTAGAGGACTTTCGATTCAGTTTAGTCCATTCTATTTACCCATAAGCGGTGATACACCTATTAAGAGACACCCTGTATATGTATATGTATACAGCTAGAATGCCCCATTTTAATCGATTACCTCAAATATCTCTTGAACAATGCATTTTAGGGAAAAATGTTTCAGACAAAAGTTTTGGGACTTTGAGGGGAACATAAGATGATAACAGTGGTTTGACCCTGAATGGCGTCAAGGTCAGAACAAGGTTACTTTGAATTTTTTAAATGGAACCCTCCATTTTTCATTACATATTCTTGTAGCACACCTTGAGAGCTTTCCGAAACACATAGATAAAATATTTTTTATGAAATAAATCTTGAGTTATGAAACTTGAAAGTTGGAGTACCGTCGGCATTAGTATCATCTAAGGTGTCCGAACACTAGCTAAAACATTTTGAATTTATTTGAATTTAAATTGAATTGATTTTTTGCGGAGTTACCATTAGCCAAAGTTGACCAATTTTTGCCTAAAATTTTGCTATGCCATAATTTTTTGGAGCAATGTATAACATATAATATATATCTACTTATATAAATTTTACCAAATTTGTTTTCTTTTGCATACATAATTGTTAATTTTAATAATGTTTTTTATTGATTTTATTTGCACCAATTCAATTATAATAATTAAGTATCAGGATAGATAGTTAATGTTAAATAGAAATTAAGGCCCGGTGCACACATCCGTTTTTTAACCGTGCGGCGCCGCTGCGGCGCTGGAATTACGGTTTAGGATGGTATAACCTTGAGTTAGATGGTGCACTACACATATATCTAGAGAGCCTCACAGGGAGAGAGTGGCAAACTTGTCACGTGAACCGGTGTTTTCTGATTGGTTGAGGTAATCTAGTTCCATAAAGTAGCTATATATACGAGGGGCGTTCAAGCCTAATTAGAGCGGCCATGCCCGCGATTGCTGTAACCGGAGATTGAGCTGGTTTCAGCGCCTCTATGTCCATAAAACGTGGACATTGAACTACATAGCCAATGTCCACGAAATTGTCGGTAATGTCCACGAATTTTTGGTGGTGATCCGTGCTATGTCCACGATTTAGCGGTTGTGTTCCGTGCTATATGCAGGAATGCGAGTAGGTTAGTTAGACAAGGATGGATATCAAGCTTCGGTCGTCCTTGTCTCACCAGCTAACAAACACGGAGCTCGAGCGGCGAGTTTGTTTTTCTCACGGACACACTCCTCTCTCACCCGTCCCGTTTTTTGTCTCGCTGCGTTACCGAAATTCAGAAAGAGGATTTCGGGCGATTTCTGGCAGCGAGATGGAAAATAATTAAAAGGAATTTTTTCAATATAAATTTTATATGCTGCGTGACACATAGTGTCACGAGTGCACATTTATGCGTAACAAATACGCGCGTGTTCAATATATTGTACAATAAGTTATAAGAAATAAATAAGAATAATTAGAATAATAGAAATATTTGACGTTTAAAATTTTTCACTTACAAGCGATTTTATGTAAAATTTAGTTATTTTAGTTTAATAAATCGCAAGTACCGTATGAGTAAGTTTTGAATTCGTACTTTCAGAAAGCTTTTTCGACTCGGCGGTAGCATGTCTGTTTAGTAATAGCGATATTGCTGCATGCCGGTTCGCGTCTCAACGAATAATTTTTTTTAATTAAAAATTTTAATTTTTACAAAAAAAGTAATAATAAATCACGCGGATATATACACTTTGTCCATTTACTTCCCATAAAAAAAACTTGTACATACATTTTTCTTTTTTCATCATACTCGCTGTCTTGAAAATTAATTTTCTAAATTGCTCTGTATTAAAAGTAAAATTAAAAATAAAAGTTTTTACATTTTGACAGAAAAAGA